ATTTAAGTGATAATTTATACTTTATTCTTACAATTAGTATCATATTTTAATGATATGATTTAATTCATACAAAATCTGTATTAATATAATTAAATTCCTAACACAAGTACAATATTCTACTTAAGAATAAGAAATGTATAAAGTATAGTTGCTAAAAAGATATATCAAGCATTTAGTCTAAATTGTTAAAAAATCATTGTAGACAAATAAATACAAAAAGATAATAAAAATTTATTTCATAATGTAAAGTCATAATATTGCAATATTGGAGTCCCGAGTAAGGACTATGTAGGCATGGTCCGACTACGCATTTTTATGGTGTCTACTGGTTGAACGTTATAAAACCATCTGCAGCTCTGCGTCGTGTCACCATCGTAGTTCCTATGTTTTGAATTCCTATGTTCACACGGTAAACACCGTACACATGTGTGTAGTCGTGCGTGATTAAATTGCATAGCTATACTGATCCTGACTTTGATTTGATCTGATTGCATGCCTATGTTATGTGATCTATAATTTTGAGCCCTGTTGTAAAATATAAAGAAAAATAATTCTTTGTAAAAGCATATGCACTGTATATGCATATATTTCTTTATATTTTACAACAGGGCTCGAAATTATAGATCTTCTTTTATTATTCTCCCTCTCCCCCTCTCTCACTCTCTCTCTCTCTCTCTCGCGCGCGCGCGCGTGTGTGTGTTAACGGTTTAGCCGCGGGTGAGTTTTTGATTTATCGATATAAATTCGCGGGCTGGTTTTATTTGTTATGCAAATGCTTCATAATTGTAAGAATTAGATTAGCAGAGAAACAGATGAAAATAAAATAAATTAAAAATTTGTTAAATTTCATTTGATTTGTTAAATTTTATAAAATATTTAGAACGCAAATTCTACGTTGCCTGCGGTTGGAGGGTTAAAAACAGCTGATGTAACATTCTACCAATTCAAAATTTTACTTAAATTCCTGAATGTAGGAAAAGATGTATAAAAGCATATATTAAAATTCAAAATATATACATGTATATATATTATTGTTATATAATTTATAAATCATCATTATCCGTCATAAAAGAAGATGTATGTATATTTTTTGTAATTTATGAATACAAATTCAATTTTCGCGCCATTCAAATATATCAAAACTATGGTCAAAGGAACTTCCATGTGGATGATAAAAAGCCGGTGAACCGCCAGATTCTGAAGGTATTTACAAAAGAGAAATTTTGTAGAAAGAATATCGGGATATTATAATTATTAATAAAACAAATTGGAAGAAATGCATCTAATATGGTATTTATAAGGTTTGTATTACTTCTAGTTGCAGCGTTGACATACATTTTTTTTTTTACGCAATATCTTATAAAGAATATCACATCAGTTTACGTATGTACAATTTTCATTTTGATTACAAATATATAATGATTAACCATATATTTTTTGTTATATGTGCATACAGAAACAATTGAAATTCACATTCAGAGTGTTATCAAAATTATTATTGCAAGTATACTAAGCTATATTGTAATGACCGCATAATTCTTAATATGTAGTAAAGTGTGAAAGGGTTACGGGACTTGGTCTGGATAGGCAACGGTAAAAATAAAAGAATACATTTATTGTAATTATTACTATCCTTTTTTATTTAGAAGAAAATGAACGAAAAAATTGATGAGAAGAGAATAACTGAAACAGTTTCATTTTCCAGTTGCATTTTTCAATAACTTTTGTCTGTAATGGTTTCAAATAACAGTTAGATGGGATTTAAAATATTTGTGTTCAACAATGATATTTGACAACTTTGATGTTACAGATTGTGAAGACATAGATCGATCTATGTAATCGAGAAAGATTGGTGCTTCATTTAAGAGGTTGTAATATTATAAAACGTCATGAATATACAACAAAGCACAGAACTGGTCATTTTCGTTACTCATGTTGAGCCAGAGGATTCATTCCTTAAAATCTGGGGCCAAGTTGATAGAAATGCTGGAACATGCGTAGAACGTATGATTCTGCCTCTGGTCGAACAATTTGCACGAAGTCATGGTTGTATTGGATCAAGAGCTGGCTGCTTACGTATAAATGCACTTTGTTGTGCTAGATTTCAAAATGAAGGATATTACAGAGCAAAAGTAATTAATATAAATCCAGATAATACGGTAGTTTTACAGTTCGTCGATTATGGTAATATTGAGGTATTACCACCTCAAGAAATTCATTTGCTTGAAAATATAACTGGTTCCGAGTCTCTAAGGTCTGCTCCACCTGCGGCATTTGAATTTATATTAATGCACGTATTACCGATGAATGGTATCTGGGATAATGAAATAATTGAACTGATCAAGAAAACATTGTGTTACAATGAATATAAAATTTCAATCCAAGCTATAATTAATAATCGTCGCTTCATTAAACTTTGCTTTAATAATGAGGATTTCAGTGAAATATTAATCAAAAAACACATGGCAATAGGAACTACGTTACAAGAAATGTTTAGGTATATATTATAATATTAAGGGATTTTATTTACATTTTTATTTTTGTTACTATTACTTCCTTATTATTGCATAATATTTTTTAGAATTACATTCATAACTTTATGTAATGTTATTTTTATAAACTTTTTAATGTTTACAATTCGATATAACATTATCTATATATATTCCCATATTTTTATAGGCCATTAAAATGTATAAGAGAACCACAAGTGCCACTGGTATATCAGCAGTCAGACAAATGCTTTATAAGTAACAATCGTGCTTCAATGATACCTGTGCAGAATGTAAATCCATTTCATTGTGGTGGAAATGATATGCATGGATACCAATCGAATGTTCCTTTATGTTGCACAGCTCAACAGAAATACATGATGCAGTCATCTGTGCAAGAAGCTCTTGTGTTTAAATCACGTGTTTTAGATGTACCATCCAGACATGAAGTACATGTATCTTCCGTAGAAGATGGTCCACATAAATTCTCTGTACAACTTGAAAGTACATCACAAATATTAAGCTCACTCATGAGAGATATTAATAGGCATTCTATAGAACCATTGCAAGAACCTCCTTTACCTGGATCAGTTTGTTTGGGCCGATATACGAAAACTAAAGTATTATACAGAGCTGTTGTAATGTCTGTAATGGAAAATAAGTGCAAACTTTACTATGTTGATTTTGGTCATACAGAGGTATTACCATACACAGATATTTTCCAACTGCCATCTCATTTTATTAATCCCAAAGTGCTTTCCATTCGTTTTACACTCAGCGGTGTCCACGAGTTAAATGTCACGGAAGAAATGAAAGAATACTTCAAGCAAATTGTATCGGATAAACTGCTTGTTTTGCATGTTTGCTCGCCGGAAGGGCCACCTTTGGTTCAGTACGGAGATTTATATGATAACGGGAAGAACATAAAAATTATTCTTAGACAAGCATTTCCAACACCGACAGTACTACCTATATCTTTTGGATATCAAGAAGCAAGGAAATTATCGAAAGATGCCGAAGAAATTGTACATGTTTCATTTGTGGAATCTTGCAGAAAATTTTTTGNTTACGTATGTACAATTTTCATTTTGATTACAAATATATAATGATTAACCATATATTTTTTGTTATATGTGCATACAGAAACAATTGAAATTCACATTCAGAGTGTTATCAAAATTATTATTGCAAGTATACTAAGCTATATTGTAATGACCGCATAATTCTTAATATGTAGTAAAGTGTGAAAGGGTTACGGGACTTGGTCTGGATAGGCAACGGTAAAAATAAAAGAATACATTTATTGTAATTATTACTATCCTTTTTTATTTAGAAGAAAATGAACGAAAAAATTGATGAGAAGAGAATAACTGAAACAGTTTCATTTTCCAGTTGCATTTTTCAATAACTTTTGTCTGTAATGGTTTCAAATAACAGTTAGATGGGATTTAAAATATTTGTGTTCAACAATGATATTTGACAACTTTGATGTTACAGATTGTGAAGACATAGATCGATCTATGTAATCGAGAAAGATTGGTGCTTCATTTAAGAGGTTGTAATATTATAAAACGTCATGAATATACAACAAAGCACAGAACTGGTCATTTTCGTTACTCATGTTGAGCCAGAGGATTCATTCCTTAAAATCTGGGGCCAAGTTGATAGAAATGCTGGAACATGCGTAGAACGTATGATTCTGCCTCTGGTCGAACAATTTGCACGAAGTCATGGTTGTATTGGATCAAGAGCTGGCTGCTTACGTATAAATGCACTTTGTTGTGCTAGATTTCAAAATGAAGGATATTACAGAGCAAAAGTAATTAATATAAATCCAGATAATACGGTAGTTTTACAGTTCGTCGATTATGGTAATATTGAGGTATTACCACCTCAAGAAATTCATTTGCTTGAAAATATAACTGGTTCCGAGTCTCTAAGGTCTGCTCCACCTGCGGCATTTGAATTTATATTAATGCACGTATTACCGATGAATGGTATCTGGGATAATGAAATAATTGAACTGATCAAGAAAACATTGTGTTACAATGAATATAAAATTTCAATCCAAGCTATAATTAATAATCGTCGCTTCATTAAACTTTGCTTTAATAATGAGGATTTCAGTGAAATATTAATCAAAAAACACATGGCAATAGGAACTACGTTACAAGAAATGTTTAGGTATATATTATAATATTAAGGGATTTTATTTACATTTTTATTTTTGTTACTATTACTTCCTTATTATTGCATAATATTTTTTAGAATTACATTCATAACTTTATGTAATGTTATTTTTATAAACTTTTTAATGTTTACAATTCGATATAACATTATCTATATATATTCCCATATTTTTATAGGCCATTAAAATGTATAAGAGAACCACAAGTGCCACTGGTATATCAGCAGTCAGACAAATGCTTTATAAGTAACAATCGTGCTTCAATGATACCTGTGCAGAATGTAAATCCATTTCATTGTGGTGGAAATGATATGCATGGATACCAATCGAATGTTCCTTTATGTTGCACAGCTCAACAGAAATACATGATGCAGTCATCTGTGCAAGAAGCTCTTGTGTTTAAATCACGTGTTTTAGATGTACCATCCAGACATGAAGTACATGTATCTTCCGTAGAAGATGGTCCACATAAATTCTCTGTACAACTTGAAAGTACATCACAAATATTAAGCTCACTCATGAGAGATATTAATAGGCATTCTATAGAACCATTGCAAGAACCTCCTTTACCTGGATCAGTTTGTTTGGGCCGATATACGAAAACTAAAGTATTATACAGAGCTGTTGTAATGTCTGTAATGGAAAATAAGTGCAAACTTTACTATGTTGATTTTGGTCATACAGAGGTATTACCATACACAGATATTTTCCAACTGCCATCTCATTTTATTAATCCCAAAGTGCTTTCCATTCGTTTTACACTCAGCGGTGTCCACGAGTTAAATGTCACGGAAGAAATGAAAGAATACTTCAAGCAAATTGTATCGGATAAACTGCTTGTTTTGCATGTTTGCTCGCCGGAAGGGCCACCTTTGGTTCAGTACGGAGATTTATATGATAACGGGAAGAACATAAAAATTATTCTTAGACAAGCATTTCCAACACCGACAGTACTACCTATATCTTTTGGATATCAAGAAGCAAGGAAATTATCGAAAGATGCCGAAGAAATTGTACATGTTTCATTTGTGGAATCTTGCAGAAAATTTTTTGTACAATTACATAGCAATGTGGGATCTCTGGAATCTGTAATGGACTGTCTAGCAGAATTTTGTCAATCTGCGCCACCCATATTGAATTTAACGAAAATAAAAATTGGTCTTCCTTGTGCCGCTTTATATGATAATCAATGGTTAGTTAAATAATCCGTTGATTCAACTGTTGACGTTTATATAGGGTGTTAAATAAAAGCATTCAATATTTATATGGTATGTGGGACACACTGTACCGAGTAAAAAGGTCTTCGTAAACATAGGTCAAATGGTCAATGTTATTTTTGAGATATAAACATTTTCATGATTGCTATAGAATGGGAACAAGTTAATCATGAAAATGTTTATATCTGAGAAACCGTTGACCATTTGATCTATGTTTAAGCAGGCTTTTTTTACTCGGTATAATGTGTCCTATATACTATATAAATATTGAATGTTTTCTTTAATACCCTGTATAATATACAGCTTTTAATCAATGAGTAATTCTTATATTATGATGTTTCGTACAACCAAATATATTGTAAATGTACAAACATCTATGATCTACTAATAATATTAAAATAGCACACAATAATAATACACATTATTTAATTATCAGGTACCGAGCACAAATTCTTGGTGTAAATGCAAATAACGTAAGGGTATTATATGTCGATTATGGTAATGAAGAAACTGTTACCGTAACTTCTCTTCGTTTGATGCACGACGACTTAATAAAACGATTGGAAGCTCAAGCTATAAAATGTATTTTAAACGATTGGGAGCTTTTTCCATGTACTCAAGAAGTCTATAATAAGTTTGAGTCATTGACCTTGGAGAAACGTTTGCTCTTAAGAGTAATAGACGTAAAGCCAGATGGTTTAGTTGTAGATTTATATGAACCTAAGACAATGGAAAGCATTAAGTCTCAAATGTTACATATAATTGAGGATGAGAGGAAGTCGGTAACTGAACCAAACTATCAAAGTATGGAAAAGCAAAGTACTCCTAACATAAGCCCGAAAAGTAATCAAAGGTATTTCACAATATATTAATTTACCTATTTTAAATTATACACACGATTAAATACTATTTTATAACTTATTTACAAATTATTAAAATCTATTAAAGCATTTAAAAAATTAATTTATATATTTTAGCGAGGATATAGATAGTTGGCATAACAAGAATAAAATAGACTCGTGGAATGAAGCACAGAATACCACCACTGTTCAGGAAAAGCATAAATCTAAATCTTGGAAAGATAAATCTAACGAAGAAAATCTATACGAAAGGAGTAATTTTCATCGCACTGATTCTAGAAATGAAAGATCTAACAATAAGGATGATTTCTCTAATACCAGAAATGTAAAGGATAAATGGAGTAATAGAAATGATTACAATGATTCTCTTAAAAGTGGCAAAGGTGGAAGTAGAGGTGGTAGAAGTAGTCGAAATAAAACTTCAGGACATGGTGCAAAAAGTCATTCTTCCGATAAAAGCTGGAGCGACAAAGATTCGGACACATCGTCTAGAAGCAGTGGCAGACGCGGAAGAGCTAGTACAACGCGCGGTAGTTATTCAAAACGTGACGGATTTCCTGGAAAAACACAAAATAGTAGATTCAGTGATAGGGACAATGATTTTAACACCAAAACCGGGAAAACAAACAGTCAGTGTTATTTTTGTTTCAGTTGCTCCTTCATCTTTAGTATTAAAAAATATTTTGATTCGTGCATGTTATATTTAACACAACAATTTTTTATAGGTGACCCATATCATGGAAATAACAAATCTAAAGATCGAAAGGGACAGGGATACAGGTTAACACAGTACAAGGTAAAACATATTAATCATGATCATTATGCATATACATGTTTCTATAAGTAACAAGCGCAAAGTATTCCTATAATTTTTACAATTCTTTATTTAAATAATATCATTATTTTTTGTTTAAGGTAACCACCGCAAATACAAACAATATGGAAGAAGAACGTCGATACAGTCCCATACGAAGTAGAAACGATTTTCGTATTCCAGCTCCTAACATAGTCATTGGATCTACAAAGAATTGTGAAGTAGTTTTCACAAATAATCCATCTGACTTTTTTGTTCACTTAAGTTGCGATTATACTGCATTAGATACTATAATGGAGACTATTGCGTCGATCTATGAAAATGGTGGAGAATTAATAAGAGAATCCAAAATATTTAACGGTTCATACTGCATTGCTCAATATTCAGAAGATTCAAGATGGTACAGAGCTATAGTTAAATCTATCGAAGGAACTGTTGCAACTGTTCAATTTCTAGATTATGGAAATACAGAAACAGTTGGTTTTGATAAAATCAAAGTAATCCAAAAGGAGTTTCTAAAACTTCCAGTACAAGCTGTACACTGTAAATTATTTGGTATAAAAAACATCACTTTTAACGACATTCAAATAAAAGCTTTTGAAGAAAAGGTAAACGAAAAAATGTTGGAAGCCGAATTTGTTACCGAAGAAAATGGTATATATAGCGTCATGATACGCGAAGTAGTTGATGGTCGTCCAAACAATGCTTTCATAAATGAAGAATTTTGTGAAGGAGTGAATTTATTGCAAGCAAAGGAGGCTGCAATACATCACAGTGAAACAAGTACAAATGTAAAACAACCAATTGAACCTGATTATGCACCTTTGGATGCTGTCTGGTCAACAGTTTCCCATACACCAGGGACTAGGAAGGATGTGATTGTTACATGGTTTACAAATTCTAATAATTTCTATTGTCAAGCACTGGACAATGAAAATGAATTTAAGGCCATGATGAATAAAATTCAAAGAATATATATTGGGAAAGAATCAGTGTCAGATACGTTGAAGGTTATTCTTTGCCGATCATTTCTTATCTATACAATTTATAGAAAATATAATCAACATATATTTACTATTAATATTGTTTTAGATTGGATCACCTGTGATAGCAACATTCTCTGAGGATAAAGCTCTTTATCGTGCAGAAATTGTAGGGTTAGGCAAATACAACAATCTTATTCATTACATAGATTTTGGCAACAATGCTACGGTTGATTTCGAAAATATTTATCCTGTAGAAAAAGAGTTTATGCATCTGCCTAAGCAAGCATTTCAATGTTCTTTATTAAATATTATTCCAAAAGATGGACTCGGTTGGTCTAATGTAGATACCAAAGCAATCGATAATTGTTTTAATGGTGACAAGTATACATGCACTTTCCATGGTATTGAGGAAAATAAGTACTTAATTTCGTTAGATAATAATGGAAACGATGTTGCTAATATGTTGGTAGAGAAAAACCTTGCAGCATTTGCCTCAGAAGCTAAATCCGATGATATTGCTGATGGTAAAAATGATCTCATATTCAATTTGTTATTTCCAGAAGTACACGCTATCTTTCCAACGAAGTAACTTAATTTTCCGGAAGAAGAGATATTCAATACGTTTCGGTTATCATCACAATACTTGTCCTCTTCACTTCAATCATTAAAATAATATAAACCGACAACGATTGAAATGGAGTGAACAATTATTATGATTGTCAGTGTTCGGCAGATCTCTACTATTTAGAGAACATGTAGAAGCAAAAAGTTCAATTAGTCATACAAAGACGTATTCATATTAGTGTAATACAATTATGGCTATTAGTGTCCTTCATTAGTTTTTTTTCTTTTTACAGGTAGCAAGACGATAGCACCTTCAATCTCGAGTGAGATTGAACGAGTGGATATAAATCTTTTAAGTGGTCAGACGCTTAGAGTAAAAGTATCAAGTGTGGAAAGTGTGACTAAATTTTATGTTCAACTTCCTTTTGCCACTGCATGTGAAAATTTGGTAAATACGTACATGGCTGACAAAAATCCGAAGGTATGCCTTATATAGATATACGTATGTATTTATAAATATCCATGAGGATTTGATTACCGATTATATTATAGTATAAGTATGTGTGTGTGCATATGTATATATGTATGTATGTGCATTCTTCCAAATACGATGAAAAAGACTTGTAAGCATGTTCAGCAAGTATCATCGTGTATTCAATGCATGAAAAATATTGAATACTACAAACCATTAAAAATCTATTTACGAATGTTTATATTGTACAAGCATTACACTAACGTTATCACAATTTATAAACATTCCATAATATATCCATACATATTATTTCATTAAATTTATACTAGTAACAAGTGATTCCACATTATTAATACAAATATTATTAACATGTCCATTTAAAAATGCGTTTGTCAAATAATTNAAGCATTACACTAACGTTATCACAATTTATAAACATTCCATAATATATCCATACATATTATTTCATTAAATTTATACTAGTAACAAGTGATTCCACATTATTAATACAAATATTATTAACATGTCCATTTAAAAATGCGTTTGTCAAATAATT